ATTAGATACATTTGCCAAGAAAGACATATATGATGAAGTAAAAATGGGTGATTGCAAATATGGAAATGTGGGAGGTGTATGTGGTGAAGAAACAGCAGATTGAGCAGTAGTGGCAGTGGAAGTTGATGGACAAGTAAGAACATTAGAGACAAAATCTGCTAACCAAGCAGGTGGTTTTGATGTCCTGGTACTGCGTCGTATAAGAGGTATAATAGGTGAGGGTGAAGAGTTTATAGAAGAGGAGTTAAGTGATAAAGAGGACAAAAGAGGAGAAGGTAATTCTGTATGATTAGGAGGAGTATAGTGATGATTTTCAGTGATAGGAATCTGAGGTAAAGACACAGTTGTTGATGTAGGGCTATTTTGTTTAAAAGGAAAAGAATGCTCATGAAAAATGACATCCCTAGACATAAACACTGTTTTAGACTGAATATCAAACATTTTGTAGGCTTTATGACCACTGTTATATCCTAGGAAAACACATTTATAAGCTCTAGGGGCAAACTTATCTTTATGAGGATGAGTGTTAGTAGCAAAACATAGGCATCCAAATGTTCTGAGGAAAAGGTAATCTGGAGGTTTATGGAAAAGTATTTCATAAGGGGTTTTCCATTTGAGAACTGGAGTGGGCAATCTGTTAATGATATAAGTGGCTGTGAGTATGGCTTCCCCCCAAAAGTGTTTAGGGAGAGCTGATTGAAACATAAGGGATCTAGCTACTTGAAGCAAATGTTTATGTTTCCTTTCAACTAATCCATTTTGCTGGGGTGTATAAGTGCATGATCTTTGATGTAAGATGCCATGTTCAAGGAAAAGATTCTGACAATCTTTACTAAGAAATTCAGTTCCATTATCAGTTTGAATTCTTTTAATGGACAAGGAGAACTGATTTTTAATCATTCTAAAGAATGTAGTCAATGTATGTACTGCTTGACTCTTATGACTTAAAAGAAAAGTCCAAGTAGCTCTACTGAAATCATCAACTATAGTTAAAAAATAATGTGCCCCTGTAAGTGTGGCTACTCTATAAGGTCCCCAAATGTCAATATGAATCAATTCAAAAGCTGTGAGAGAGTAAGTTGTGCTAAGATGGAAAGGTAATCGATGTTGTTTTGACAGTGGACATACATCACAAATAAAAGTTGCTAGGTCAGAATGTTTAACAGTAGAAACTTTATTAAGAATATCATGTGATGGATGGCCTAATCTTTGATGCCATATAGTAGATGATGGTACATTATTAGTGGCAAAACAGAAGGTGTTACAAGCATGTGTATTAACAGGTAATTCAGACCTAGATATAAACTGTGAAGAAAAGGTTTTAATAGTTTCTTGGCTAAAAGAGAATTTATCTAGAATGTATAATCTTCCCATTAACTTGCCAACTGCCAATACTGCCTCAGTCTGCAGGTCCTGTAAGATACAGTGAGTAGGGTAAAAAACAAACTTGATGAGTGCGGACTCTGAAAGTTTATTTACTGAAAGCAAGTTAAACTTAAAATTTGGAATATGTAAAACTTCAGTAAGTGTTAAGGCTTGCTGCAAAAGGACTTTTCCTATGTGTTTGACAAAATTAATTGATCCATCAGGTAAGTATACGGGTGTGGGTTTATGAATTGAATTATAGGTGTTAAACAAGGCAAGATCATTACACATATGACTCGAGGCTCCTGTATCTATAATCCAAGATCCTGAACTTAAAAATTCAATTGAACTTAATGCTTGTGTTAGACCAATACCTGCAAAGTTAGCGAAATGAGCAAAATCAATTGTAGAGCCATCAGCTGATGCCTTTCCTTTCATAAGCTTAGCCAACTCTTGTTGGATTAATTCTGATATTGTTGTTCCCCACTCAGTTCCAGTATTGCCAAGTTCCTTTCCAGCTTCCAGAGGTGTATCAATCATATTTGCATAACTCTTGTGTTGAGTCTTTCCCTTTTGTTCCTTCAAATCTTTGTACCAATCAAGATAACCATAAAGCTTAAAACATGTCTCCTTCGTATGCCCATTGTTATTGCAAAAATCACAATGTCTCTCTGCCTTCTTAATCGTATCCTTCCTCTTGTATCTTGTCTTAACACCCTGTGCTTTTGCAAACATAGCACTATTTTCAAGATTATCTGCAAATGCTACATGTACCTCTCTCTGTTTTTCAACTCGCAAGATCATTGAGTATGCCTTGATAATAGTGGGTAAGGGATCCATGACCAGAATCTGATTTCGAACATGATCAAAGTTATCATTCAATCCCATAAGGAACTGCATCAAACGATTAAAAGAAGTAATTTCTGCCACCGATTTAGCTGCTCCACAACTACACTGTGGTATAGGCATCAAACATGTCAATTCATCCGATAACTTCTTCACTTTTGTGTAGTATTGTCCTACTGGCATATTTCCTTGATTAATTGAACTAATATCCCTTTGGATTTGATATAACAAAGGTCCATTACATTCACCGAATCTTTCTTCCAATTCCTTCCACAAATCCTTTGCAGAGGTTGTATACAGGAAAGCTTCAACTATCTCTCGCGAAATAGAATTCAAAATCCAAGAAGTAACCATGCAATCTACCCTCCTCCATTGATCAAATGTTGGGGAACTTTCATCAGGCATCTTACACTGTCCATTAATAAACCCTAACTTCACTTTAGCTCCTAATGCGAGTTTCATCGAACGACTCCAAGACAAGTAGTTCTTATCCATTAATGGAGTTGATACAAGGATCATACCTGGATGATTAGAGTTTTACAAAAAAAGAGGACCTCCGCTTCGTATATTTTCTCATGTTCGTACTGAATCAGGTTCCATTGTTGCTTCACTTTGAAGATCCGAGCTCCTTATACCAGGTTCCATTCAACTAGAAGCAATAGTCTGTCACAAAACCAGAAAATCAATGATTTTGTGAAGGATCTATTGCTCTGATACCATGAACAGAGTAACGCAAGCTTTACAGAGTAAAAGGTTTTTGGTAAAGTTGTATATTCTGTTATTGAGTAAAGTAACAGCTGCTGTATATATACAAGGAACTATAGCTAACTAAAAACGTGACTAATCTAACAAACTAATTGATTTACAGCTCAGCATCTAACTAATGAAACCAACTATACAATAAAATAATTTATTCTGTACAGGCAAATTGTTTACTACAATTCTATAGAATAATAATAGTCGAATTTATCTAATTCTTTCATATATTGGTGAAACATATTAAAATCAGAGAACCTAACCAATAGAATTTTGCACTACTATAAATATGGCACAACACGATGATATAAAAGCAGAAAATGAAAAAGGGAGCTTCATTACCTGTAGGAAGAACTATATTGTACTATAAAGGTCAAATTATTTTTCCTCGATCGTATATACCTATATCAAATTCAGTTATCCAATAATTGTTGGATATATTGCAACTATCCAAAGCAGTTCATGTGACATATTAAAATTCAGTCGTTAAAAGAGTTAAGAGCATTACATTACCTTTAGCAGTAGGTATATTGTAGCTATGAAGAACAGTTTTTATTTTTTTTGCAGGAAAAGTAAGCAAAAATTATCTGTTTATTTAATATTGATTACATAAATATATTTACATATATAAGGATCTCATCAATTTCAATAATTCAATGTATGAATCGATAAACAGTCAAATATTTCAATAGCACAACGTATCGATCCCTTCGCATTCACATAATACATTGAACCTTTCACATTAATTTCACATAAACAGAAGCAAATAACACATACAACCTATCCCTCCACATTAACAAATATTAATTGGAAGCAAATCAAAGACAACAGATACAACGTATCAACCTATTAACATTCAAATAAATATCTCTATATATACAGGGATCCTATTAATTTCAATAGCAGTTCTAAATAGCACTATATAATAGATACAACTTATAGATCCCTTCACATTCAAATAACAAAAGGGAGAAGGTAATTCTGTATGATTAGGAAGAGTATAGTGATGATTTTCAGTAATGAATCTGAGGTAAACACAGTTGTTGATGTAGGGCTATTTTGTTTAAAAGAAAGAATGCTCATGAAAAATGACATCCCTAGACATAAACATTGTTTTAGACTGACTACCAACATTTTATAGGCTTTATGACCATTGTTATATCCTAGGAAAACACATTTATAAGCTCTAGGGGCAAACTTATCTTTATGAGGATGAGTGTTAGTAGCAAAACATAAGCATCCAAATGTCTGAGGAAAGGTAATCTGGAGGTTTATGGAAAAGTATTTCATAAGGGTTTTCCATTTGAGAACTGGAGTGGACAATCTTAATGATATAAGTGGCATTGAGTATGGCTTCCCCCCAAAAGTGTTTAGGGAGAGCTGATTGAAACATAAGGGATCTAGCCACTTGAAGCAAATGTTTATGTTTCCTTTCAACTAATCCATTTGCTGGGGTGTATAAGTGCATGATCTTTGATGTAAGATGCCATGTTCAAGGAAAAGATTCTGACAATCTTTACTAAAAAATTCAGTTCCATTATCAGTTTGAATTCTTTTAATGGCCAAGGAGAACTGATTTTCTCCATACTAAAGAATGTAGTCAATGTATGTACTACTTGACTCTTATGACTTAAAAGAAAAGTCCAAGTAGCTCTACTAAATCATCAACTATAGTTAAAAAATAATGTGCCCCTGTAAGTGTGGCACTATTAAGGTCCCCAATGTCAATATGAATCAATCAAAAGTTGTGAGAGAGTAAGTTGTGCTAAGATGGAAAGGTTTTGACTGGACATACATCACAAACAAAGGGCTAGATCAGAATGTTTAACAACAGAAACTTTATTAAGAATATCATGTGATGGATGGCCTAATCTTTATGCCATAAAGTTGATGATGGTACATTATTAGTGACAAATAGAATGTTACAAGCATGTGTACTAACAAGTAATTCAGACCTAGATATAACCTGTGAAGAAAAAGTTTTAATAGTTTTTGGCTAAAAGAGAATTTATCTAGAATGTATAATCTTCCCACTAACTTGCCAACTGCCAATACTGCCTCAGTCTGCAGTCCTGTAAGATACAGTGAGTAGGGTAAAAAACAAACGAGAGGAATAGGAAGGTGAAGATGAACATGTAAGTCCTGAAGAATATAGGAAATCCATTGCAATTCACAAACAGTAGAGGCAAGGCTGCGATATCCAGCTTCAGCAGAAGAACTGGAGACAGTGGTCTGTTTCTTGGTTTTCCAAGAGATGAGAGAAGAACCAAGATAAACACAATAACCAGTTAAAAACTTTCTAGTAGTTGGACAAGAAGCCCAATCTGCATCACAAAATGCTTCTAAACGAAAAGAGCTGTTTGCAGGGAAAACAAGCCTTTGGAAGGATAACCCTTCAAGTAATGAAGAACATGAACAGTAGCTTCCCAATGATGAGTGCAGGGATGTTGAACATGTTGACTGAGCTGCTGAACTGCATAAGCAAGATCAGGTCGGGTGAAGCCAAGATAAAGAAGTCTGCCAACCAATCTGTGATATTGATCAGGATTAGCAAATAAAGTATCCTCAGTAGAACAAAACTTGAAGCCTTTAGGTAAAGGAGTTGTAGCAGGTTTGGCACCAGAAAGGTCTGCATCTGTAATAATATCCATAGCATATTTTCTCTGATATATGTAAGTACCCTATGAGGACCGAGCAATCTCAAGACCAAGGAAATATTTGGCATATCCAAGATCTTTTATGGTAAACTGATCATGAAGGAACTTCTTCACAGCAAGAATATCAGTTTCAAAAGAACCAATAATGATGACATCGTCAACATATACTAAAAGAGTAATAAAGGAAGAATCAGTAGATTTAACCAACAAACAAGTATCATGAGTAGACTGAGTAAAGCCATAAGTAATCAACTGAGAAGTAAACTCGTTATTCCACTGTCTGGAAGCCTGTTTCAAACCGTATAGAGATCGTTTCAGACGACAAACCTGATCTAGTCTAGCTGTATCATAACCAACAGGTGGTAACATATACACTTCTTCATCAAGATAGCCATGCAAAAATGCATTATTAATGTCAAGCTGATGAATAGGCCAGAATTTTGCAGTAGCCACAGCAAAAAAAAAAAAATTCGTACAGTAACTAATTTTGCTACAGGAGAAAAAGAATCAAAGTAGTCAACACCTTCTACTTGGTTGTAACCCTTGGCAACTAATCGGGCTTTATACCTATCAACTGAACCATCTTGATTAAGTTTGATCTTATAAACCCATCATGAACCAATGGCTTTCTTTCCTGCAGGTAAAGAAGTTAACTCCCATGTATGATTTGCTTCTAAAGCCTGATGTTCATGTTGCATGGCTTGTACCCACTGAGCATTAAGTCTAGCTTGACTATGAGAAGCAGGCTTTTGGACATTAGATACATTTTCCAAGAAAGACATATATGATGAAGTAAAAAAGGGTGATTACACATATGGAAATGTGGGAGGTGTATGTGGTGAAGAGACACCAGATTGAGCAACAGTGGCAGTGGAAGTTGATGGCCAAGTAAAAACATTAGAGACAAAATTTTCTAACCAAGCAGGTGTTTTGGTGTCCTGGTACTGCGTCGTATAAGAGGTATAATTGGTGAGGGTGAAGAGTCTATAGAAGAGGAGTTACCTGAACGATGACAAAGGGGAGAAGGTAATTCTGTATGATTAGGAAGGTATAGTGATGATTTTCAGTAATAGGAATCTGAGGTAAAGACACAGTTTTGATATAGGCGTATTTTTTTTTAAAAGGAAAAAGAATGCTCATGAAAAATGACATCCCAGACATAAACACTGTTTTAGACTGACTATCAAACTTTTATAGGCTTTATGACCACTGTTATATCCTGGAAAACATTTATAAGCTCTAGGGCAAACTTATCTTTAGATGAGTGTTAGTAGCAAAACATAAGCATCCAAATGTTCTGAGGAAAAGGTAATCTGGAGGTTATGGGAAAGTATTTCATAAGGGTTTTCCATTTGAGAACTGGAGTGGACAATCTATTAATGATATAGTGGCATTGTTGGCTTCCCCCCAAAAGTGTTTAGGAAGTGTGATTGAAACATAAGGGATCTACCACTTGAAGCAAATGTTTATGTTTCCTTTCAACTATCCATTTGCTGGGGTGTATAAGTGCTGATCTTTGATGTAAGATGCCATGTTCAAGGAAAAGATTCTGACAATCTTACTAAGAAATTCGTTCCATTATCAGTTTGAATTCTTTAATGGCCAGGAGAACTGATTTCTCAATACTAAAGAATGTAGTCAATGTATGTACTACTTGCCTCTTATGACTTAAAAGAAAAGTCCAAGTAGCTCTACTGAAATCATCAACTATATTAAAAAATAATGTGCCCTGTAAGTGGTCTACTCTATAGGTCCCCAAATGTCAATATGAATCAATTCAAAAGTTGTGAGAGAGTAAGTTTGCTAAGATGGAAAGTTTTGAGTGGACATACATCACAAACAAAAGTGGCTAATCGAATGTTTAACAACAGAAACTTTATTAAGAAATCATGTGATGGATGGCCTATCTTTGATGCCATAAAGTTGATGATGGTACATTATTAGTGACAAAAGAAGGTGTTACAAGCATGTGTACTAACAAGTAATTCAGACCTAGATATAACTATGAAGAAAAAGTTTTAATAGTTTTTGGGCTAAAAGAAATTTATCTAGAATGTATAATCTTCCCACTAACTTGCCAACTGCCAATACTGCCTCAGTCTGCAAGTCCTGTAAGATCCAGTGATAGGGTAAAAAACAAACTTGATGGTGAGGACTCTAAAAGTTTATTTACTAAAAGTAAGTTAAACTAAAATTTGGAATATGAAAACTTTAGTAAGTGTTAAGGCTTGCTGTAAAAGGACTTTTCTTATGTGTGGACAAAATTAATTGACCATCAGTAAGATACAGGTGTGGGTATGAATGAATTATAGGTGTTAAACAAGGCAAGATCATTACACATATACTCGAGCTCCTGTATATAATCCAATCCGAACTTAAAAATTCAATTGAACTTAATGCTTGTGTTAGACCAATACCTGCAAAGTTACGAAATGAGCAAAATCAATTGTAGAGCCATCAGCTGATGCCTTTCCTTCATAGCTTAGCCAACTCTTGTTGGATTAATTTTGATAGTTGTTCCCCACTCAGTTCCAGTATTGCCAAGTTCCTTTCCAGCTTCCAGAGTGTACATCAATATTTGCATAACTCTTGTGTTGAGTCTTCCCTTTTGTTCCTTCAATCTTTGTACCATTAGAACCATGAAGCTAAAACATGTCTCCTTCGTATGCCCATTTTTATTGCAAATCACAATGTCTCTCTACTTCTTAATCGTATCCTTCCTCTTGTATCTTGTCTTAACACCCTGTGCTTTTGCAAACATAGCACATTTTCAAGATTACTGCAAATGCTACATGTACCTCTCTCGTTTTTCAACTCGCAAGATCATTGAGTATGCCTTGATAATATGGGGTAGGATCCATGACCAGAATCTGATTTCGAACTGATCAAAGTTATCATTCAATCCCCTAGGAACTGTATTTTCTCCCCCATTTAGTTGCTCCACAACTACACTGTGGTATAGCATCAAACATGTCAATTCATCAATAACTTCTTCAGTTTTGTGTAGTATTGTACTACTGGCATATTTCCTTGATTAATTGAACTAATATCCCTTTGGATTTGATATAACAAAGGTCCATTACATTCACCGAATCTTTCTTCCATTCCTTCACAAATCCTTTGAAGAGGTTGTATACAGAAAGCTTTAACTATCTCTCGCGAAATTGAATTCAAAATCCAGAAGTAACCATGCAATCTACCCTCCTCCATTGTCAATTTTGAAGAACTTTCATCAGGCATCTTACATTGTCCATTAATAACCCTAACTTCACTTTGCTCCTAATGCAGTTTCATCGAACGACTCCAAGACAAGTAGTTCTTATCCATTAATGGAGTTGAGACAAGATCATACCTGGTTGATCAGAGTTTTGCAAAAAAGAGGATCTCCGCTTCGTATATTTTCTCATGTTCGTACTGAATCAGTTCCATTGTGTCTCACTTTGAAGATCCGAGCTCCTTATACCAGGTTCCATTCAACTAGAAGCAATAGTCTGTCACAAAACCAGAAAATCAATGATTTTGTGAAGGATCTATTGCTCTGATACCATGAACAGTAACGCAAGCTTTACAGAGTAAAAGGTTTTGGTAAAGTTGTAATTCTGTTATTGAGCAAGTACAGCTGCTGTATATATACAAGGAACTGTAGCTAACTAAAAACATGACTAATCTAACAAACTAACTGCATTACACGTCAGCATCTAACTAATGAAACCAATCTACAATAAATAATTTATTATGTACAGGCAAATTGTTTACTACAATTCTATAGAATAATAATAGTCGATTTATCTATTTTTCATATATTGGTGAAAACATTAAAATCAGAGACCTAACCAATAGAATTTTGCACTACTATAATATGGCACAACACGATGATATAAAGCAGAAAATGAAAAAGGGAGCTTCATTACCTGTAGAAGAACTATATTGTACTAAAAGGTCAAATTATTTCCTCGATCGTATATACCTATATCAAATTCAGTTACCAATAATTGTTGATATATTGCAACTATCCAAAGCAGTTCATGTAACAATTAAAATTCAGTCGTTAAAAGAGTTAAGAGCATTACTACCTTTAGCAGGAGGTATATTGAGCTATGAAACAGTTTTTATTTTTTTGCAGGAAAAGTAAGCAAAAATTATCTGTTTATTTAATATTGATTACATAAATATATTTACATATTAAGGATCTCATCAATTTCAATAATTCAATGTATGAATCGATAACAGTCAAATATTTCAATAGCACAACGTATCGATCCCTTCGCATTCACATAATACATTGAACCTTTCACATTAATTTCACATAAACAGAAGCAAATAACACATACAACCTATCCCTCCACATTAACAATATTAATTGGAAGCAAATCAAAGACAACAGATACAACGTATCGACCTATCAACATTCAAATAAATATCTCTATATATACAGGGATCCTATTAATTCAATAGCAGTTCTAAATAGCACTATATTAGATACAACTTATAGATCCCTTCACATTCAATAAATAAATAAATATTATATATATATATATATATTAATATATATAATGACCCATTAATTATACATAAATATATGTGTATAAGATGGCATTAATTTGAATAACATTTGTTGTGAGCACTTCATTAATAACAAAAGTAAATTTTATGCATAATCAAAAATCAAATTTAATTAATATATAGTGAGTATATATATATATATATATATAGTATGGATCCCATTATATACATAAATATCTATGTATAAGATGGCATTGATTTGAATAACATTTTGTTGTGAGCGCTTCATTAATAACAAAATTAAATTTTATAGCATAAATCAAATATCAATATTTAATTAATATATAGTGAGTATAACAATTACCAAATGATTCAGTGATGGCATTTTATTTGTTTTGCAAGATACATCATACATGTAATACAGGCAATATCCTGTGCGTATTGATGTTTGATGAGAGCATATGTGTCCCAAAGCTAATGGTTTGATGTAA